CATCTTCATCCCATACAGTCTGGTTGATACTTTGGAGAAGCATGCGCTATCTTTGGTACGACTTCACTGCAATCACCCTCCTCCGTGAAGATATTGTTTTCTTTTATAAATCTTCGCAGGCACTTACCTCGTAAAGCCATATTCATCTCCATTAAAGATCTCAACCCCAACCCTCCCTGAGACATTGGTTTTTTGATCTCATCCCATGCCACCAAGTGATATATCTTCCTATCCTCAGAGTTGTCCCAAAGGAATCTACACTGAGTTGATACCAGCCTTTTGGCAATACTTATTGGGATTGTCAAAAGGGACATGAAATAAATGGATAGGTCAACAAAGATACTTTTAATAGAAGTGAATCTCTCCCTTTTGACAAGAGGTTTCACTTCCAACCCATCAACCTCCTCTCAAACCTCGCAGCCACTGGGTCTCACATCCTCAGATCTTTATATTTGGCCCCAACAGTAACCCCAAATACTTAATCAGCAATTTCGCACTTTTACACCCCATGACTCCCGCCAACCTCAAAGCATCCCTCCCATCACTCAATCTCACTAACTCAAACTCAGTTAAGCTGATACTAAAACTGTAAACTGCTTGGAAACTTAATAAAATACATATGAGATTAAGCATTGTCCTCTTATCCAATTCAAAAAAACACTAAAATATCATCAGAAAAAAATAAGTGAACTACCACCTCTGCATGCTCACCTTCTCCCACCTTTAGACCTTTTAACAGTTCCAGCTGTCTACCTCTTTGCAACATTTTGTTCAAGATTTTCATGACAACAATAAAAAGAATGGAAGATAATGGATCATCTTACCTAAGCTCTCTAGAGGCCTTGAAAAAAGAGAATGAATCCTCATTCACCAAGACCACAAAAGAAGTTGTAGTGATACAAGAGTTAAACCATTTGTATCATTTGTTTCTTAAACTCATTCTCCTCAACATATAATTGAGAAAACCTCAATTTACATTATCGTAGACTTTTCCGATATCAAGCTTGCATAGGAGACCCCAATTTAGATAAAGAAAAATCCTTTAAAAAAAAAAACCATTTAGCCTGGGCCCATATAGAAGTGAAAAAAACAAACTTAATCTAAGGATTAAAAAGAGTGAATCATAGTTCCAAAAGATTCTAGCATTTGTTCCAACCAAATCACCCATAGTTCACGAAAACAGCCACACACCTAAGAGCTTTATACACCCTCCTCATCCTCAAGCCCATCTTAGTCTAGTAAAGGAAAATAT